GAGTACAAATAAAAATAAATATGTTCACAAACATTTACACTTGAAATGTTTGTAATTACTAAATTAACATGGTGAACCTGGATATCGAAGAACCTACACACATTTAAAATCATCACATTTAACCCTGAGTGTGTGTGCGTGTGCAGTCACACTGTTTCAGATCAAACAAACTTTAATATCAAAGATAATCTGAGTGAATACAAATACACTTTTGATCATTTCGTTTATTAGGGGAACATGAACAAGTAGCAGGTACAGGGTTAGTTTCATCACTGACATCAATGTTAAAGAGTTTTACCAGTGGCAACATCTGCTCAGCTTCATATCTGATATTAATGAAGCTGTTCAGGCTTGGAATTTACAGACAGATCAACAACAGCTGATGATGTGAACTAAAGTTCTTATGACTGACATGTTTCTGATGCTTCCAGATTTATTTATTTTTTGTAACTAAACCAAACCTGATGCAGGCTGTGGCGACTACTCTCAGGTAGACTGACAAAACTTGGGTTCATTTCTCGCATTCATCTCCCACTTCCTGTGACCTCTGACCCTGACTAATGATGTTAGTATAAATGAAGCCCTATAAGGAAAAGAGATCCTGGATAAAGAGACGTTCAGGGACCTGATGACGTGCTCTGAGCTCTGATGATCAAGTCGAATTTAACTGCTCTAAAACCCAAAGAAACACGGCTTTAAGTCATCTGTGAATAAGTTTCAATAATCAGAAGTTTGGAAGTTAAAAACATTTCTGAAGTTATAACTGTAATAACAGGATAATAAATCTGATGAATAATACTGTGCCTCAATGCTCCAAAAAGCAATTTTATTACAAATAATAATTAAACCAAAACAGCTTCTGAGTTTCATTTAAATGTTTGAAGTAAAGTAATGATTCACACAATCAAATTACTTCATTGATCAGCAGGTTCTTTTTTTATTTAACAGACATTAAGGATGAAAATAAATAATACAGGATACATGAACACCTGAGGCCACTGTGACCTTTGGTGTTACAGCACAGACTCACAACAAACAGAAACCTAACATTAAACAGTGAAAGCAGCAGAC